TCGAAGACGAAGATGCACTTGAGGTTGAAACATCCGACACGATCGAAAATGTGAAGGCTAAGATTCAGAACCATCAATAACGTTGTAAAACTGGATAACCGCAAGCTTCGGTTTTGTGAAGAAAATTAAACACAAACATAAGAAAGTGTAGCTTGCGGTATTGCAGTTTTACAGGTTGTTGATGGATCTGGTAAGGTACAGAGATTGAGGAAAGAGTTTCCTAATGTTAGTAGTGGTCCAGGTACATTCATCCGACGACGAATCTTGAATACTGTAAAGGAAATTCGCTGTGGTTATTCAGTTGCTAGGGTCTGGTTAAAGAACCTTGTGGTACAAGAAATGGGTATTTGAGTTATCATCTTTAAGCTTTTAGAGATTATAAAAATAGCCATCCAATTACGGACAATGAATCGAAATGTCTTTAAAGAGGCTTGTTTTGGATGTTTCATTGATGTTTAACTTTCATACATTTATGCAGTAAAGTTCTTCCATTGTATACGGTTCATTTGCGAGAAAACTACCTTTAGAGATGCTGGTTTTATATGTTTGAAGAAGCTTTTACGTCACATATATAGACTGCTCCCATGAAAAATGCTAGTTACATGGTCTACATGTTCTCTGCTTCTCCTTTAAACAACTGGAAATGTTTTGTTTTTTCGTTCTCCCAAACTATGGCATTCTCTAAAAATGGCAAAAAATCACAAAGTCTTCTAGATCTCACGGGGATCAACATTCACAAACATGTTGACCAGGAAAATCTGTGTAGATGTTTTGGAGTAAAGCAAAAGAAGTGCAAAAGCACATTCCTTGTGCTTTAAGTTTAGATCATGTGTTTGAAAAATAAGGGATTTTCTTCATCTACTTTTAAGCCAAGCCAATAAAATCCCCTTAATTAGTCTGCTTATAAATCCAAACCATGTATCATCTCGTTAGAAAGCAATGATCTTTACATAGAATCTCATTACTTAACTCGTCAAAAAAAAATTGCTTGCCGTTTTTTTCAAACATAAGATGAATAAGCCCTTCATTGTTTCCTTGTTAGCCATGTTAATTGTAACTTCTTATGGAGCTGAGTACAGGGAGCTTGACATTCTTGGGGACCTTGAGAACCTCGACGTACCACAGGATGATATTAATGAAGATATGACGATCTTTGATTTCTCGTGTTTAACAAGTCAAAATTCTGGTAAGAATCTGGTGAATGTCGATAGCTTTGGTGCAGTTGGAGATGGAGTCTCTGATGATACTCAGGTGCGCTTGACATCTTTATGCTGGTCTTAAAAAATGCATGATAATGCTGATCTTGATGCAATGTTCTTCTTATAATCAGGCATTTACAAGTGCGTGGAAGATGGCCTGCTCTGCACCAAGATCTGTGTTATTGGTTCCACAAGGACGTCACTATTTAGTAAATGCAACGAAATTCAATGGTCCATGTCAAGAAAAATTGATTATTCAGGTCAAATTTAACATTTCAAGTTCTTAATTGTTCTTTTTGGTTTTGTCTACGGTCTTGTTGTCTTATGCATTTTTTGAAAGTTGATTTGTATAGATTGATGGAACAATCGTTGCACCGGATGATCCTACCCAATGGAACCCGAGATTCCAAAGGGTTTGGCTCGAATTTTCCAAACTCCAAGGTGTTGTATTCCAAGGAAATGGTGTTATAGATGGTTCTGGTGCCAAATGGTGGGCTGCTTCTTGCAAGAAGAACAAGACCAATGTAAAATCTTCTTCTATACATAAATCGAAAATCTCTTTTTATTCTAAAGTAGAAATCTAACACATATCTTTCTTGTTTTCTCTTGTAGCCTTGCATAGGCGCACCAACGGTAACAAAATGTTTCTCTTTTTGCTTTCATGGATTGTTAAATTTCTGTTCAGTTTGGTTATAACGAACTCTTTATTATTTATAGGCGGTAACTATAGATTCGAGTTCGGGTGTTTATGTGAGAGGCTTAACAATCCGGAACAGCCAACAGATGCATTTGAGCATTGCTCGGTCAAATACAGTTCACATCTCTAGAGTTATGGTCACTTCTCCTGGAGACAGTCCGAACACTGATGGAATCCATATCACCGCATCTACTAATGTTGTAATCCAAGATTGTAAAATTAGCACAGGTTCTTTGCCAAAATCTTATATTAAACTCAAAATATTAATCTGTTATGATACTATTAAACTCGAGCTGACACTAAAACTTTGATAACAGGAGATGATTGTGTCTCAATTGTGAATGCAAGCGCGAGGATAAAGATGAAGAAGATCTACTGTGGACCAGGACATGGAATCAGGTAAACAAACACTTAAGGATTTTTACATACATATCAGTTGCCAGTTGAATTATGATTCTTGGTTGCATTCTCTTGTTCTATAGTATTGGAAGCCTTGGAAAAGGAAACTCGACAGCAATGGTCACAGCAATTGTGTTGGACACTGCGGTTTTAAAGAACACAACTAATGGTTTAAGAATCAAAACATGGCAGGTAAAATTCTCAAATCTTGATCCTTGCTTCGTTTTTTTTTTGTTGTTGTATACTTTACCTAGCTTCCGGAGATGAAAGATGAAATTTTTAAAACAGGGCGGTAATGGTTACGTTAAAGGTGTACGTTTTGAGAACGTTGAGATGGAGAACGTTGCAAATCCGATTATAATCGATCAATTTTACTGCGATTCGCCATCAACTTGTCAAAACCAGGTTTCTTCTTCTTCACAACAACCATTTGACTCAAGATGATCTCAAGAAACCTCAAGAAAGAAATTAATCTTTGC